GCGCTGCGCAGCGCTTCGGAGCCGGGCTGGGCGGCGGGGTCGTCCTCGTACGGGCTTCGGTCCGAAACTTGTTGATCGCAGGGGCCTTCCCGGTGCAGCCTTGCCGTCGCGGTGGCCGCGCGCGGGGACCCCGCAAAGCCCTGAACGGCGGCGCACCAAGTCGGGGAGCAGAGCGGCGGCAAGACGCGCAAGGCAGACCTTACAGGGGGTTTCAGAAATGCCTCCCAACGTTGCATACTTTGCGGGCGGGCCCCAGATTAGCCTGCTCGATAACGCACGTTGCAAAATGTGTGTTCAGCAAACCTACGATCACTGTAGTAAACGCAACAATTACGCCGTCTCTTGATTGTGTAACTACTTGTATAAGCTACTGTGAAATTATAATTACCTCTAAATAATTCAGTCGTTCATGCCTCAGCTCTAATGGGGTTTTAACTTCTTCAGTTTATTATCGCCATTAGTAGCAGCAGCAGCAGCAGCAGCGCTCTGATATTATTATGGCTCTCAATTGGCATACTTATTTTCCCCGAATTTGCACTCTGGGAAGAACAGGATCTCCCTTTGGAACTAGCATCAAGGATCAGAACGGATGTTGGGAGAAAGTGTCACTCTAAGGTTTGCCCAACTGTGGGCTAGATGTTAAAAATCCAGCAAGAGGAAACCAGCTCCTTTGCAAAAGGGAATCCGATCAGAAGTGAGAGTGCATATTTTAAGGGGCCAGCTCCAAAGTGCCCCTGGGGAATGCCAAAGGCTCTCCCTCTTCTGGTGCTGCTTCTGCACCCCATTTCCAGGCATTTCTGGAGAATGGAAAAACATCACCCCTCAGGGAACAGAGTGATGGAGACCGACCCTAAATAACCCGGCCAGAGACTGAAGAGCAGTCGGGGTGGGGAAGGGGGGGAGACCGTGCTGCCTTTATTCTTCTTCATGGCTCCACTTGAGGATGCTCAGAAAAAGGCTGAGGAGGACCCGTCCTTTTTGATGAGGGTGGATATGGTAGGTAGCATTTCCTTGTAACTCTGGACCAGGTTCACAACCAAACCCCACTAAAAGCCAGGGGCAGCTTTCACAGACCGCGGTGGATCCGGAAAGTAACGAAGACTGGGCACGGCATATAACGCTGGGGTGCCATTTCTTCTTTCTCTCATGCTTCTCAGCTTCTGACAGACGGACTCCCCCAAGGGGAAAAATCAGAGTGAAGTGTAATCGTCCATAGTGCAAGTAAAACATTCTGGCTTGATAAAACTATGATACAAATAAGCTACGTGCCAGTATATGCTGCTTATTTGCTCTTTGTATCAGTTAATTGAGAAACTGAACATGGGCAGGTTCACATGACAGCTGAATTCAGGATTATGATTTATTGTTGCCAAACCACTCTAGATTTTAAAGACAGCAACCATCCTAATTTAACGTGGGTTATCGGTTTGTCTTGTTTGGGCATACTTGACTATAATCCAGACATGGTCTCGATGCAGCCGGAGAGTTGGATCTTTTCTCACAATTGGGATCTCACTGAGATTCTGTTTCCACCGTATCCCCACTGCTCCTAACAAGTCTCTCTTGTGCCCAAGTCTTTTTCTTTCCTGACCCCACAGGCCTCCAGGGTATGCCAGGGTGATTAATTCCACAAAGTGGAGAGAGTTGCAAAACTCTTGGCAGGCCTTTTTGACCTTTCAGTTACCACCCTGATCTAACTTTAAACTCCTGCACGGTTCAAACCAGGACCAGCTTCTTTTTCTTCAAGACTTGTTCTTCAAAAGCATTGCTTTCAAAACCTGGTTAGCCAATCTTGCTTCCCTTTTGGGAATGCAGCAGTTCAGCTGCTGAGGCACATGGTCCATTCCCATAGGCTATAATGATTGATGGAAAAAGATAAAATGCAATAAATCCTCCCTATATAGTGTCTTGAGCACTATTGACAAAAGCCATCGAGATGGACAGAAAGATTTGGGTTCCTGTGCTTTTATATGGAAGACAGCTGCAGAAAATAGAGTTTCAAAGTTATCTCTTTCTCCCTAATTTTTTTTCTTGCAGCACCCAGGAAAACATGTCTTTACTATAGGGGTGCGATCTCTATTAAGAACATTTCATAGTTTTTAAATTGTTGCAAGCAATTGTCATTTGTTATGGTTTCCTGGAAATCATGAATTCAAAGCTGTACTGCTCTGAGCGTGGAGATTGTGTATAATAGTCATGTATTTGTTGGTTGTTAAAGCAAGCTATTCTTGCTTTTCTTCGTTCCAAAACAGTCACTAAAAACCTAAGATTAGTCTCTGCAAGCTCTCAAATGCTGATAGGTCTGTGTTCTGAATTGCAGATTTTCATTGACAATGAATGGCACGATGCAGTCAGCAAGAAAACATTTTCAACCATCAACCCATCCACAGGGGAGGTCATATGCCAAGTTGCAGAGGGCGACAAGGTACAATATTGGCGTAATGCAAGTCCTAGTTCTTACACAATTGGAGTACTTGGTGTCATTGCAGATTTTCTTGAAAGTTTAAGTAGGCAATGAAATCACTGGAAATTCTTTACTATCCTGACAGGCAAAGTCTATCAAGCTGCTATGAGACCCTCATTACAATAAATATCTAAATCATTTTTAGCTCTCATGAAGAATGCTATCTAAAGATTTTAAGAAAGTGTCCAGACTCTGTGTTGGGTGTGTTGCAACATAAAATGTGCCAGACGTTTGCTCTTGCCAAAGACAGCAAGGTAATCCATCTCCAGCTTGCTGCAGGCAGAGTAAACATTACCAGAGCAGCAGGCTTTGTATGGCTACAGCTTGGCAGCTGGAGACGCCTGTTCTTGTAGTTTCATAACAGTATAATCTATGAAAGGGGAAGCTGAGGCAGCAATACTTCAGTGGCCAACAGGAATGACACAGCAGAAATCGCACAGAATCTGAGAAGCCGTTCACTGCGGGCTGCAGCCAAAGGAAGAATGTGCGTGAGGAATAACTAGTGAGTGGTGATAGCTGTAATCCGGAGATAGCAAGGTGGGGAAGACTGCCCACCCGAGAGTTATGTCCATCTCACACAGTGTGAGTGGTCAGTGTGCAGTCCTGCTGCTGCTGCTGCTCTCTGCTGATCCTGTCCTGCCTGGGTTCCTTTCCAGGCAGATGTGGACAAGGCTGTAAAGGCAGCCAAGGATGCCTTCAAATTTGGGTCTCCTTGGAGGAGGATGGATGCCTCCCACCGAGGCAAACTACTGAACCGTCTCGCCGACCTGATTGAAAGAGACCGGACCTATTTGGCAGTATGTATAGAATGGTTGGGGGGCGGGGAAGGGAGTTGCTTTGTGCATGCTCTGCTCTCTCCCCGGAATCTGGGTTTATAAATACTGGCTTTATATTTCTTCGTAGGCTCTGGAAACATTGGACAATGGCAAGCCATACTCAATCTCCTACCTGGTAGACTTAGATATGGTTATCAAGAACCTCCGGTAAGGATTAATTAATATATCCTGAACTGTTGCCAAGCACAACTTAGGATGCCCCCCCCCCGCTTTATTTTTGGCCATCTGTTGCAGGTTTTTTAAAGGAAAGGTAATTTTAGTG